CAAACCAAGGATGGGAGGCAATGCGCGACATCCAAATGCGACGATCGACCGTGCAACATCACAAATGTACGCGGAATTGAGTGAGAACGAGCAAATTTATGATAGAAGGGGCAGGGAGTACTCACCAGGTCAATGTCGTCGTTCTCGACAACGGGTGGGCCGAATCACGTCAAACCAAGTACAGGAGGCGATGGAGAACATTACTCCGCGTCGATTGACCCCACAACGTCGGAAACGTACGCGGAATTGGATGAGAACAATTGAATTTACGATATGAATGGGAGGGAGGTACTCACCAGGTTAATGTTGTCATTCTCAACAATGGGTGGGCCGAATCACTTCAAATCAAGTATGGGGGGCGATGCGGGACATTAATTCACATCGATTGACCTCACAATGTTATAAATGTATGCGGAATTGAGTGAGAACGAAGCAATTTACGATAGAAGGTAGCAGGAGGTACTCATCAGGTCAATGTTGTCGTTCTCAACAACGGGTGGGCCAAATCACGTCAAACCAAGTACAGGAGGTGATGACGGACATTAATCCGCATCGATTGACCTCGCAACGTTGGAAATGTACGCGGTATTGGGTGAGAACGAGCAAATTTACAATAAGAGTGGGAGGGAGGTACTCACCAGGTCCTGAGTACCATCATTCCCAACAATGAACACACCAAATCTCTTCAACAAAGTACCAATAGATATAGAAACCAGTGCCTAGAATAAGCATCACCACCATGGACAGAAACACAACGTGTCAACTCTGTCGATGGTGGTGTGTGCTCGGAGAAGAGTGAGGAGAGATGTGCCAGCAAAGCATCACTGGATGCACGTCTGGCCTCCGGCAAATTCCGACGCGATATGGCAGGTACTCTCCCACGGGTACCTGTGGGACCTGAAGCACTACCTGTATCCGTGCAGCCACCCGTGGGAACGAGTATCTGTATCCACGGATACAGGTACCCGATGGTGTGCCTTACGAGTATCCGTTGCAGGTACTCACGGGTCCTGGTACTCGTGGCATGCCCTGGCTTGTATGCACCAAATGAGGTGAGGCAGACAGATACGGCAGACACGTCAACAGCACCGTGAATGATTTTGTCGGCATCAAGACGAGTGATGAGCAAGGCTTCCGCTAGGTCATAGAATGTGTCATGGAACTGCTCCCAAAGAAGGTGTTTGTATGGTAGTGGCGGTAAGCGGAAAGTGAGTATATCAAAATTGTCCTGAGTTCTTGACATTTACGCGTGTTGACAGGTCGGGTGGCGGGGTAAAGACTATGGTGCGAAGCACTTAGTCACCGCATATAATATTCAACCGCCAAATTTGTGTCCGGGAGGTCGAAATTCCAGTTTATTGAAAGAAAATTCCTGGAGCATATTAAAAAAACCCGGGACTCTCATAAATAATAAACAATTCTATTAAATATTAATTGTTTGGCGGGAGAAATCGAAACCCGCCAAATCTGGTGGGTGGGAACTTTGAAAGTCCCTCAGTTTTAATTATTTTGGAAATCTGTCTTGGGGATCTCTTCCTTTCATCAAAAGGAGCATTTTGACAAGACAGATAAGTCATAGAGGCGAATTTGACCCTCCTATGACCGGGTCTTCCCGGTGTTCGACTTATGCGGTGAGTAAGTGCTTCGCACCATAGGTATATAAAGCTCTCTCCTCAGAGCGTCCCACGGTACGATCAATCTCTAGCGCGGCCGATGATCATCCTCCTCCGTTGGCGCTACCTATGCCAGTTCTCTCACTATCAGCGAAACAATCCCATAAAGGTAGTCAATATTCCTCATGCATGTCACCAGAAATTCGAGTCGATCTGCCCCTTTCCAAAAGAGCAACTCAATGCTGTCGAGAAACTCTATCCAATCGTCTTGACGCTTGGTGGCTTGGACCGCAAAGCGCAACCTGATGCTGTGGATTGCAAACATCCAGAACCTTGTTGACATTATGGAGGAAGGTCTGCGCGAAGGACGTGATGTGCATAAAGCCCCGGGTCAATCTCGCCTCCCCTTTGGTCATTGAGGGGACGGTAAGAGCAATCCAGGGACTAGATCCCATCCAGGCCCACGTTTCACGGGGTATGAGCCGTTCGACGTCTGAGAGCCATTGTTCCCACCGGATTTTGTCAGTGTAAAGCACCTTAATGAGAGACACCATCGAGGGATCGACGGTCTGGGGAGTTGAGGGCGGAGCAACAGGCATCGGGGCGACTAGCACAGGAGCCACGGGACGGACATAAGTTTTGGGAAGGGGGAAGATCTTTCCAGCCAGAGAAATACCATAGCGAATGATATACAATTTGGAGTGTTCGGAGACCTGCTCGTATTCAGTGCCTCTGTGCGCATGCCGTAGGTGGCCGGCCAACGGACCCAAATTCTGAACGAGGGAGGCCTTGCCGTTTCGATTAAGTCAGGACGCAGCAGCCCCGAATTTGTGCCAGGGCTGAGCGCATCCAGGAATCTTGCACTTTGCATACTGGATCGGAGGATGATGGATATAAAAGGTCGGTGAAGGGGGGGAGAGTTCCGTGATATGTGATACGTCGAGGTGATTCGTCACATCATTACTGGTCTTTCTGGCGCTCTCGGGGTAGATGTCGCAAAGGTGGTTGGAAAGGGCATCAAATACCTTCTTCTTCTCCTGCGAGGTCTTAGGGAATAAAGAGATAAGTCCGTGTTTGGAGTTGCCATGCTTTGTCTGAAGATGGTGAGATATTTCGGCTCCGTGGAGAACAGGAGCGAAACTGCATGAAGTGCATATGAAGTAGCCGTCGTATTCCAAGATGAAGCCGACGTAGGCAACCACCACACAAGAATGCATGGTAGAGTCTGATGATGAACTCGCGCGTGACTGTAGATTAGGTGTGGAAGTATGCTGAGTGCAGCGTAAGGCCTTCCCGTTGAAGGTAAGAGTGCCACTGTCGAGGAGCTGGAAGCCTGTGTGGATTGGCTCAGGATTGGGCTCTGAAGACGGGGCGGAATCTCTACAATGTTCCTGGTGCGTTTCTGCTCTTCCTGTGGTAGCATCCTTTTGTGCAAACACATTCCCCCCACCACCGACACCCCCGCACTCAAACTCTCTATTAGCATCTTCTTGATCTGTCTCCACGTACTCTGCGCCCTCATCATCATCCTGATCCTCGTCACCGGCAGACGTGTCGCAGTAGTTTAGCTGTGTGCCCCTCTTTCCTTTGATCCGGTTCGCTTGGCGGCGGGTGATGGGCTTATAGAGAGCCTTGGCCGTGCCACCACCCGCTGATACATTCTGCGCTGACTGAGATTTCCTCTCCAGATCGTCCTCATCCTCCTGCTTGTCGCCCTTCTCCTGCTCATCTTCGTCTTCAGACTCCTCATTCTCGTTCTTGTTCTTGTCCTCGTCCTGTTCATCCTCCTGCTCATCCTCGTTGTCAGATGGCTCCTGGTACTTCGGCCGTGTCTTCTCCTTCCCTTTGTGATGGTTCGATTGGCGGCGGGTAATGGGCTTATCGTGAACTTTGACAAGGCACTCCATGTTCCAGTTCGATCTATGGGACCGAGATCTTCGCTTCGGATGCACCTCCTCTTCCTCTTCCTCCTCTCCCCCATCCCCGTTCCTGTCCTCGTCCTCGTCCTCCCCGTTTTCGCCAGGAGCATCACGATCAAGTTCAGAAGATGCCCGTTTTCCCTTCTTCAGCTCCCGTACAACACGGTTTAAGGGTGCGAGAGTGGCTTCGCGCTCTTCCGCCTTTTCGACGGCGGGCTATTTAGGATATCATTCAAGACAGGCCTTTTGTTCTGTTATAAGCAAAAACATAGATAGAGTCAGTACGTTGAACCAAATTGGACGTATGAACACACCCTTTTGGACATTTTGAGATGCCTATAGAGAAACACCGTTATGGAACATCATCAGATCTCTATTTGTGTATTAAATATAGTTAGACTCACCGGTGCAGCAGGTGTTTCACACAAGACTAAAAAAGCTCTGAAAATTACTTGTTGCTTACTCGTTTCTGCGCTTTCTCGACGCATTAGTTGACGACAAAGAACGTGGGCAGACTACCCAATCTGGTCATGTGACCATATTAGAGAGTTTGCGGAGCGCAGAATCTATACTCGGTGTGTTTCGTCTGTCGTTGCAAGGACAATTCTGAGAATATTTGAGAGCACTCTATAGTCTCATTAAAGGAGCTTTTATTAGAAGAGTGAGTGCCGAAACCACCCAGTCCATGCTGCAGCACTCACTAGAAAGTGCCGCATTATGTAGAAAGGAGATGATTGCCGTGCCACGTGCATCGGGAAATCACCCCCATGCTATTTTCAGCTAATGATCGGCTTAGGCTAATTCCACGCGGGGTCAATTTTGGCGACCAGGAAGTTGGCTAGGCTGAAGAAGGGCAAATTAGCCGAGAATTAGCTCTGGTTAGAGCAAGTCCAAACTTTATAGAGCTGGCTTGAGTACACGCTGTTTGACTGCCAATATATACTCACTTGCGAGAGCTGATCTCAAGCATGAATATTGTAAGTACTACAATTCTACATTTTAGAGGGTTCAGTGATATCATCATTGGCAATGCGCGCATTGGTCATGCTCGTGGCTGCTTCGCCAAACCTAGTAAAATCGAGGAAACAGTCGGGTATCCGAACCTAGGCAGTGTCCCTGACAGCAGCACCAGATCTTCTTATGCATACCGATATTGCCGGGTGGAGTGCTCGAGAAGCTGGCATGTTCAATATAGCGGAGACGCCCATTTCCGAGAGTCTGGAGAGGTTGGAGAGGTTGGACATGCTTGATGAGGGGCATGGATCCGCGTGAGGACACCCAGAGGTCGGAGGAGAGCTGGTGGTGCTGGTGCTGGTGATATTGGTGATGGCGATGGTGAGACTGAAACGAGCTGTAGGAGCCCTGATGATGATGATGATGATGATGTGGTGTGTCATGGTGTAGCATCACATCAGGAGAGCAAGAAGAATGAAGGGGCAATGAGCATTTGAACGTGCAGCCTGATGAACCCGAATGAGACCAAGGCAGCCACTCATGTCGATATCCAGACCCTTTTCTGCCCCCCTTCTTTCGCTACTCCCGCAGCGATTCCGACCATTCCGCTAGCCAGTCTTCCTCCCCTGCCTACTCAGCTGGACAGACGGACGGACGCCCCGTTGTCGTCATCATATCCTGAGTCTCTGCTGCCTCCGCCAGTGCCAGATCCACCACTGTCGCCGTCGGGGTCGAAGGGGCTATCGAAGAAGTCTCCACCGTCTAACTATGTTGCTAAGGTAGCCTGGTCCTAAACCTAAGGCGTCACCTATAGCCAAACCCTAACCAAACCAAACCAAGCCTAACCCTGTAGCTGAGGGTGTCAGCGTACAAATGTGAGTACTAGGAGTGCTTGTCCTAGGGGCACTAGCCCAGAGAGAATAGTGGGTGGTGAACTGAGACCGTGGGCTTGGGGCTGGATACACCAGGACGCAAGGTCACACTGAGTATGGCGAGAAGCAAAGGAGATCGAGTGAGGGAACTATTCTACGATACAGGTGGTTCTTATATACATCCTGAGCTGACCCTTTAGGGCACACCCTCACTGTACACTACGAGTGAACACTACAGGAATCCTTCATGGATATCCAGTGGGTCCAGCAATGGGTATAATGGGTACAAACTGCTGAGTCAACATGCACAAGACTATTCTAGAACGTTCCAGACCTGATCATATGTCCCTACATCACGACCACAAGGTCACATGCCATCACGTGCCTACCACATGACTGGTCACGTGCCTATCCCTCTATCCATCCCACATCTCCATCGTCGAAGTGGCACCTGGGGCCACAATGCCTGCAAGGCGCGTACACTCCTTAGAAACGCCGAGAAATAAAGAGTTAGGTTTAGCCCGAAGGCCGTTTCAGTACCCCCCTCTAAGACTCGACGTCCTCGTTGAGTGCCTTATCTCTCCCTGGCATCTTTCCCTCCTGCCAGTCTGGTATATCCCAGGCTTTACCCGTCTTAGGATTGAATCCGTCCGTTAGACTTTCCTCCATAGACTTCCAGGTGTACGTAGCAAAGACGAATTTTCCTAGTGGTCGCGGCGCTGAAGGATGCTTTTTATGGAATGACTTGCCTTTGTCTTCCGCATTCTTCAGGTTCTTAGCCGGTTCCCAACTATTATTGCCTTCACCATAGCCCTTCCATTTCACCAGATATCTCAACCCTTTCCCTACCAACTTTGAATCCAACACTTCGTCAACTTCATACTCCTCTTCTCTTCTACTTCCACTGGCTCTGGCGGTGGTGGCAGTATCCCATTAACCTCATTACCCTTCCAAGACGAAAGCCGATCAATGTGGAACACCGGGTGTACACGGAGATCTTTAGGAAGTTCTAACTCGTAGTTAACTGGGCTTATTTGCTTTGTAACCTTGTAAGGTCCCAGTTTCCTAGCTGTGAGTTTACGAACACCTTTAATCTGGATTGGTTTTGCATCTAACCAAACCATATCTCCAACCTCGAATGCCCTTTTCTCAACGTCTCCTTCCTTTGCCTGGTCTTTCTTCGACATCCTCATGGCTGCTTTCGCATCCTTGCGAGCTGCTTCTAACTTTTGCAAGCGAGCTTCGACTGAAGGGAACTGCGAAGGCGAACCAGTAGGCTGTACTGAAGTAGGTTTGAAGCCGTACAACAACTCGAATGGTGCAAATCCAGAGGAACTATTTTTCCGAGAGTTTATCACGAATGTGAGGGTTGGAAGCCAGTCGACCCAGTCTTCGCCTCGGCGATTACAGTAAAGACGGATTTGCTTGGATATTTCTCTATTCATCCTTTCTGTCTTTCCGTTGGCACGAGGGTGGTAGGCAGTTGTAAGACCTCCTTCTATCCCGAGTCGCTTTAATAATGCTCTCATAGCTCTAGAGGCGAACTGTCGTCCTCTATCGGAGACAAACTTCTTCGGCAAACCGAAATCGGGGAAGACATGTTTGAAGTGTAAATCTCCGACTCCTTCTGCTGTTACTTCTGTCCTGGTGGGAACTGGTCTGACTTGTCCAGCGTAGTGGTCGACATATGTCAGGACTGCATTACATCCTTGACATTCTGGTAATGGACCAATAAGGTCTATGCCGACTACCTCCCAGGGCCGAGTTGGTACTTCTAGTGGGACAACCGACCTTGTCGGCCGTATCAACTCCTTCATCCTTGCGCACCTATCGCAACCTTCCACGTACTTGGCCACCATTGCTGACATTCCAGGCCACCAGAACTGCTCTGAAGCGAGTTCATATGTGGCATTTTGACCTGGATGTCCTGCAGCTGGATGGTCATGAACCAACTTCAGAACCTCTGTATGCAAGTCTCCGTCTTTCGGGATATAGAGCCTGTCCTGATAATATGTAAGGCCATCTATTTCCTCCCAGTCTGGGACTCCTCTAGCTAATGACTGTGGCGAAGAGCGAATCATGCTTTTAAGTGTAGATAGGACTTCTGCCTCTCTAATGCTAGCTTTGCGTATTCTTCGTTCTAAGTCTGTTTCGCTTAGACCTACTGTCGCACTATGTATGAAGTGTTCTGGTTTGAGCATGGTTATCCTCCGCTACTTTGTTTGAAGAGAAACGACACGCTCGTCATCGAGAACGGCGGTGTTGACCCTGGTGAGTTCCCATTACCCCTCCAACCGTAAGAGTGCTCGTTCTCGCTCAAATGAGCACCCGTGTTCGATGTAGCTAGATCACTCGACGCGTATCAACGTCCTTCATAGGACCCTGTATTTGGTTTGAGGAAATTCTACCTGGTCGTCATCGAGGTCAACAATCTCAACCTTGGTAAGTACCCTATCCCTTTCAATCGTAAAATTGCTCCTTCTCACTCAGTTTGACCCGCGTTTCGGATGGATCTGGATCAATCAATGCATATACACTTCCTCCATTATCCCCTGCACTTTGTTTGATCAGATTCAGCCCGCTCATTGTCAAGAATGACAACATTGACCTGGTGAGTACCCCTTCCTACCTTCTATTGTAAATGCGCTCATTCTCACTTAATTATGTGTGTGTTTCCAGCGTTGCAGGGTCAATCGTCGCATTTGGATGTTCCGCATTGCCTTCCCTACTTGGTTTGACGCGATTCAGCCCACCCGTTGTTGAGAACGACGGTATTGATTCAGTGAGTACTCCTCCACACCCTTCCCCAGCTCATATTTACCACGTACCCATGGGTACCCCTCAGGTAACCTTTAAAATACCTGTAGATTAATTCTATCCATGAGTACCTGCCCATTGGCAAGTACCTGTATCGGTTGGATATGGATACCTGTTCCCACGGATACGACCCCGGATACAGGTGTGGCCTCTGAGGAAAACAGGTACTTATTCCCATGGATACAGGTGCTCGCACCGATATAATCGTGGCATGCCCTGCTTACGACTGAGCTTGTTATGTCTTACATCCACTCTTCGCAATGTACGCAGGCTCCATCCAATGTCAATGGCTCTGACAGGAAGGGTTCCAAACGCGCTCCACGTTAAATCATTCCTCCTCTCCTTATGGGAACTTGCAGCCAAGTCAAACAATGTCGCCTCGGCGCCCTCACAGTGCTTCTGTGGTCAACCATTTCTCCTTTCCAATTTGCTACCCGGTTATGTCCCGGAGCCGGCTATCTTGTCAACCGACTTGACTGATCTCTTCTTGCTGCCATCCCTCACGTTCTATCTAATTGGATGAGACCTCCTCTCTCAGCTCCTAACCCCTCGTAGTATATATAGTGGTCTACATATATTTACGTACCCTAACTTTGTGTTTGTCAACACCTAAACTAGCCCATTGACTCAATCTTCTTTTTGCCCCTTCAACCTCGTCTCTTCAGACCATTTGACAAACACCACCTGTGATTTCAACCTACCCATAGTATCAATTGTGCCCTTCAACGGTACACATGTATAAAAATGCTCCTCCTTTCTTCGAAGGAACACAGAAGACCACTACAAAGCCTTGAGGAGTATAAAGAGACTCCCAGTGGTACTCTGGGAAATAATCCTTTTTCATCTTTTGGGACTGTAGATGTGAGATAGATCAGTTCCACCCAACAGGTGACTAGCAGAGGCAAGTCTTCAGCACATCATGCATGTGCTGTGCAATCTGTCTCCTAAGGCCTCCTGAAGAGGTCGAACTTTGATGTAGAAGAAACATCAGACATTACTTGTGTTGGTTGTGGTTGTGGCCGAAGTATGTGAGGCCACTGTGGCACAGCTCGGAGTTCTCCTGGGTTAGGGTTAGGGTTGTGTTGCACAAACTCGTCGATGCACATACTCTTACCCTTGTTTCTGTCTGTACTTCATCTTTGGTCTGTGTCTGTGTCCGTTAGGCCATTAGCCCCCTCTGAGCTTCTATTCCTGACAACTTGTACCATCTAGGTAAAAAGTGTAAGGCAATGTGTTTGAAGAGGAAAGAAATGGAGAAAAGTAAAGGGGATTCAAAAGGCAAAGGAACAGAAAAGGAGAAATGATAAACACCACATGAGAGTGAATGATAATCCTATGTGAACCGGGTCCCAAAACTGCTACCCCTCCACTCCATTCACATACCCAACCAAGATACACTTGCGAGTATGTGAAGTCAACGGCTTCCGCTTTCTATCCAGGCGAGCACATAGGCGAGGCAACCAAAGACGCGGAAAGAGGAAACATCTGGTTTCTTCTGAGCAGAGGCAAGTGTGCGATTGGTGACATCGATATAGGCAGAGATGGCGAGATCTGAGAAGCAAGAGCCATGTCGAGATTGGCCTTCTTTGCTTTACCTTGTTTTGAATAGGGTTCATTCGCCTTGGTATGCTATACACATCCTGGTCGCTCCCAATATACTCCCCACTTCCCTTAACATCCTAATCTTCCTTCTAAGCACTTTCTCTGCATACACCTTGAACCCTCTGTGTCAGGAATAGAAGCTCAGAGGTGGCTGATGGCCCAGCACACACAGACACAGACGCAGAGATGGGGTACAGAGACATGGGTAAGGGTATGTACATGGACGAGTTTTGGCAACCTAACCCTAGCCCTAAATTGGGAGAACTCCGAACTGTGCCACAGTCGCCCAACAAACGTCCACCACAACCACAACCGACACTTTGAAACCCCCAAAACCTAACTCTTCTTCAAGAACTGGCCACCTTTGAAAACATCCAGCATCGTCGATAAATGTGACCCAGTAATGATACCTTTGTGGGTGGGAGGCAGGACCCTTGAGATTGGTATGGATGAGATCGAGAGGGTGAAAACGACCAGTAGCGGTCTTGGGAACATTATGATGACGTTGCTCCAAGAGAGACAAGGAACACGGATGATAAACAAACTCCAAAGGATGCGCCCATTGAGATAGCCAATATAGCCCTCAAAACGATACAGGCAGTAAAAAGCCGCTCTCCAGCTCGCTTGAAAGCGATGTCACGCCCGACGATGTGAAGCTCATAGCCCTTGCTCACAGAGAGATGGAACAACGATGATAGATTTGAGGCGAGCTTGGGAATGTGCATGACGTCATCAAACACTACAGGACACAGCTCTCTACCACTGACAATAGGAACAATAGGAACCACTGAAAATAAAAACGAACTCGATAGACCCTATCCCTTGAGAATGGATGAGTGAATCGTCTGCTAAATGAACAGGCACAACGTGGGGAGAGTACGAGCACCAACGATCATGAAGGGTCATATTTGAGGAGGCGCCTGTGTCTGTGTTCAAGTCAGTAGCCGCACGAGGACGGGCCAAGCGGGGCGAGCCAAAGATGAGAGAGTGCATCTAGACGACGGCGTAGAAGCCCCTCCTTGGGCTTCATTCGCGTTTGCTCCACTTCCTCCACCTCTACCACCACGACCTTGAGAGCAGCGACCATGGCAAGCTCAGGAGTATCATCATTCTGCACGGCACTACGTTTGCGAGATTGCTCCTCATTAGAGGAGGCTTGGGTAACACACTGTCGAGGGATAGGTTGTCGTTTAGAGGAAGGTGACGAAGTTGTTGTAGTCGGAAGGTAGGGCCTTGATGAGTGCCATGGACGATAATTCGGAGTCAAGGTCGTCAAGGGTGGACTTTGCGGGGGGGGGGGGCTCTCTGATATGGGAGATGTAAAGATTGACACGAGCAACGAGGTCGGAGAGCCACTCGCATTCTTGGATACGAGTGGAGAAGAGTCCGGAATAAACGTCGAATCGCGGTCCCAGTCTTCTTCTGCACATCGAGCCCAGCCAACTTCTCCCACATCGCCTTTGGATCTTCCTTCTCCTTCCTAATATGCGCCTTCTGATTCTCTTTTGTCATCGGACATAATGACGGATAGGGTGGTGTAGGAATGGACGTGTTGAGGCGAGTGGTGTTGAGGCGAGTGGTGTTGAGGCGAGTAGAGTGGGATCAAATAGGAGCTAAGCAGAACGTTCAGAGGCAATTTGTCCTATTAGTCCCGGAAAAATAGCTTGAATACAGGAAAGCTCCCTCCATCTCGTCATAATACTCCGGACAATTCTAGCCCTCCTTGATCGCTTCAAGCTTTCTGACCACATCCGGTTTATACTTGCAATTCGCCTTTCAATGTCCGTGGCGCCTCGGTCGTATGAAGACGACCTGCAGATGCGCTCTATTCCTTAGATCAACACTGCTGGACCCTTGGCCCACTTTCCGATCGCTACTCGTCTAGACATTAGTTTTGTGTATAGTCACAACCACGTCCAACCAGCAATCATGATCATTGAACAGAACCAAGAGAGATACAAAATCTTGTCATACAAGACACCTGTGCTTGGCTGCAGGTCATATATACATGACGAGTATGATCTGGATGATGGAGATTCGATGACACCTTGCTGAACAACCACAAGTCATGACTGCAGTAAGTGGCCCTATGAGCCCCAAAAGTTTGGTTAAAATCCTCCCTCCCATCAAGGCCCGAAGCTTCATCCCTAAGCTTCATCATCTCTGCGAATGTCTGCACTTTAACCCCCAGTGAGCGGTTTAATCAAAAGATCAGCAGGGATCTATCTCATCCGTCGCTATATGATCCACCCCGGATCGTGGCCTGCTCTCCACCTCATCTCTCAACGGATAGAACCGCAAATTCAGATGTGTCATCCGCACATGATGCTCCAGATATTTCATCACTTGAAGCGCAGAAATGATTGTCGATGTAGAGGGTAGAACACCGGACTTCAGGCTCATTTCCCGCCGAGCATATTCTGCAGATATACGACTTATCCACAAAATGTCTCTGGAAATATCCTCAGCGCCGATTCCGCGGGTTCCCCGGACGAATGTACTGGGGTTCTAGACCGCGATATAATGAAACATGATATTCTTCAGACATTCATTCTGCGCGAAAAGAGATGGTGTGATTGTATTGTATTCAACGGCTTATGCATGTGACTTGTACCAACAGAATCTACAGCTACGGAGGCTCTCGACGTGCATATACAATGCTTCAACTAGACATTCTCCTAGCTGTAAGCTACTATAGCCCATATGACCCAAGAACCACAAAAACCGCGCAAAGACCAAGGTTTCGTGAGCATGGATGTCGGCTGGGGGGATGAAAGTATACGAAGGCCTAGATGTATGCTAGTTAGTGATGTGAAACACACTAGAGAAACACATGCAGCGTATCTTTATGGCCTTTGAAGTCTGAGCGGAAGTGGTATCTGAGCAAAGACAGCATAAGGCGCGAATGAAAGCGATGACGAGAGGAGAGGCAGAGCACGTACATACAGTTCATAGCTGGCTCGAAGCAAAAACTGTCAGTTGAGCATATCATCCAATGCGGGCAAGACACACCTTGAGAGAACACCATCACTAAAGTAAACTCTCTAATAAACATCCCTCACGCCTCTTGGTGTTGGCCACCCTGAGTCTGAACAGAACAGCTGTGGCTGACGCATACCTTGTAACAGAGATGTCGAGTGATAAGCCTTGAGGAATGCCGGAAATGGAGGGAGGCGCAGAGGGAGGAAGGGTGCGATATGGAGGGAGGGAGGAAGGCAGTGTGAGGAAGGCAGTGGGGGATGACGGCGGGGCGGCACTCTTTATGTAGAGCGGTGCAGAGGTTGTGCACGGATCACGTCGTCACTTACTGATGTCATACCAGGAGGAGAATGAGAGGAACGGTTATGAAAGAGGAGAGCTATTTTTGGGCGTGCTCAGCATTGCGAGTTTTGTATCTGAACTCACCTGTTTTTGGAGCTTACTCGGCGGATAAAGGCATTCAATCTCGATCGGAACATCCTGGCGCAAATCTTGTGGATTTTTGGATTTTCCATGACATCCCCGTGGAGGAAAATTCCCTCTGAAGTCCGGTGGAAGGAGAGTCGAGTGAATAACCAAAGGAAGTGAGCGGGTTGCAAAGGAAGAGGAATCCTTCTCTTGGCCAGCAGTGGTTGCAGCGACGTATTCAGCGTCTGTGGTAGAGAGAACCATAGATTGAACGCGAGATTGGCAGCAAATCGCGCCAGTGCCCACCTTGACGAAGCGGATCGTCCAGAGTCCAGATTCCCTGCATGATTGGCGTCGGTACAGGTGTGGAGGAGCTCGGTGGAGGAAGTGGAGGTGAAAGTGGGGGAATAAGTGGATGAGCCCTTGAGATAGCGAAGAGATGCTTCACGGCTTTCCAATGCTGAAGGCATGGATTCTGGCTGAAGTGGGCAAGGACTCTGACACTGTGAGCCGGCTGCCAGTTCTGGTGTGTCTTCAAGTAGGTTCATATTTTTTAAATGGGCTTTTGAACGTGCCCTAAATCTGGAAAACTCCGAACCGTGCCACAGTAGCCCCACAAGTGTGTCCGCCACAGTCTTGCGCATACGGAAACAGACTACCTTTGGTCTCTTGAGGTGCGTCTGGAGGACGACCAGGGGAGGCCAGTTCACCATTGCCTGAACTTGAACGATGCATGACTTGTTGTTGATCCAATTGACTCACATAATGACCTGGTGCTGGATGCAGAGATCCTGAAGGAGTCTTTAAAGCCAATTCATCCCAGACCAGACACGTGCACCTAACAAAGGAGGGTGGGCTGAATTGAATTGGGTCCACCGGGATTATCTACTACTGCACCGCTTACATGTTCCCCATTCATGCTTATTAGATCTGAAAACATCTCAGGATGTTCCGCAGTGAGGATGAACATTGCACAGATACCCCGCCCATTTGTCCTGGGATCGCAGACGTGCACATGATACCATAGTGCAGCACCCAACCACATATCTTGATCATCCAAGAGCTTCTCACTATAGGCTCTGACGGTGCCCATGAGACCATACCTTGTCACGCGAGCACGCAAAATGTACCAAGTCCATTATGAATGTGAGGCTAGAGCGGAGTACTGCAATCATCAGGAGTAATGAAAAATACGCTGGAATACATTAAATACATATTCGTTACGGTTCAAATGATTTGCCTTGGTTCACACCTTTATAACCTGTTCAATCATGCATTCTAGATACTCCTCCATGGAGGTGTAGAGAGCGTCAAAGGAAGTGGGTGAGGAAGATGGCAACGGAGGAGGGATTGGATAATGCCCCTCATCTTTCAAAGTCCCCTTGATTGCGCTCATGTTCTTCATATGTTAATCATGTACCAGTGTTGTCAATGTTTATTTGTTTATTTGTTTGTTTTTTCTTACACCTCTCAAGGTTTTCGCACCAGTGGATGAATAAAGTTGAATTAAGCAGGGTACTACAGATGAATGACAAAGAGATGTGCAAGACAGGAGAATAACAGAAGAATACGATCACATGTGGGTGGTCATGCCATAGACTACATGGAGGTTAGCGCCTCAAGGGGTACAGCGCTGTCAATCTCGGTAACACCATGACACGTTTAGCGCTCGTTCTCGGTGGGCCCGACTCCAAGAACCCCTCTCTCCCAAAAGCGGCTTTTGAGATCTTCTCAAGCCTTATTGCCAAGTGCGCCTATCAGACGTGGCAATCGTCATACGCAAACAAGCGAAAGAAGATACCTGCCTTGATTGAAGCGAACAAGAACGCGTTGCAAGGTTAGAGTCCACTTGTCTCCGTGTGACTAGCTGCACCAATCACTAACATTGCCGCCTAGACGCGATCGCGTCCGCTGGTAGCCTCACAACAGCTCAAGCTGTCCGGCTTCTGAACTCCTTGACCGACGTCCAGGCCATGATGGAGGTCTTCCAGGGTGACAAGTCACGGAAAACCCTGGAGGAGGGTAAGCAGCTTCTATTGAACCTCTGAGGTGCGATCGACGAAGACTTCGAGATACCAGAGGGCTGCAATCGTAAGTGGTTATGAATTATGCAGGCGCCACCCTTGTTGACCGTTCCGCAGGAAAAAAACTAGTTCCTGCTCTCCGGAAGGCCGTCAGCACGCTCGCTCGCGAGAGCGACACTGCCCGGATCACATTGTTGACGCATGAGGCGATCCTTCGAGCTGGCGGCAACAATGACGACGACTACGCAGAGATCCTGCGATTATCCGACCTCTCGCCCAACGACATCTCTGACTGGCAATCCGGCTCCGAGGCCTACGCCAACCTCAATACAGAAGAGGTCAAAGTGCGTCTCAGAATCGACAAGAAATCCCTAATCGGTCACGACGGCGTGCTCCCATTCATGAATTCCCGCTACGACAACAGCGAAGCTCGGCGCAATCCGGCCGATCACGTGGAGTGGTTCAAAGACGAAAAGAATGGCGTCGTGCTCACGCCGCGGTGGCACCAACTGGTTGCAATGCTGGCCATGATCGAGATGGCGTTCGACGGCAAACCGGTCGCTGTCTTGGATGAGGTCGGGATTGGCAAGACAATTCAAACCATCGGCGTCATCATGCTCTTGACGTGGTATCGGGAGTTTTACACGAAGAAGGGCCACTTTCCGGGTGCTTTTAGTAAGTGATCAGTTTTCACTCATAAACTAGTCACTCATTCCTCGTGCAGAAGACAGAAAGTGGCCCAAGAGTACCGACAGAAACATCCCCAACGCAGCGCATCTCATCGTCGTCCCCCCTGTCCGGAGTATTACGACGAGACAGAGGTAATTTCCCTGATATTTTAGCAATTTTTCCGGGACTGATAGGACCACTTACTGCAGAGTTATGACTTTAGTTATTTCGCCAGCCAGCGGGCCGCAGGGGGCCGGATTCCGCGCCTCGGTTCCGCGCCTCTGCGTCCCGTTTAGGCAGGTAGTTTTCCAACTGTATAGTAGACCGGTAAGCGCCGGAGCGCGTCCTTTTAACTTGTGGGAAGCGTCCTTGTCTCTTTATCATTGACAGTGACGCTTCTCACAGGTGAGTCTTACTATAGATTTCGTCTCTTTCTTTTTCTATTACTTTGTGAGGGAAATATCATTGACAGTGACGCTTCTCACAGTCGTTTCTTCGAGTGCTCGATTGTCTGCGCTTCACAGGTTATGGGCCCTGCGCTTTAAATCGCCTCAGAACGTTCTGCTTAGCTCCTAATTGATCTCTGAG